TTCTAAAGTTTAGTTAATTCTCACTGCTGAATGTATTATGCTGTTGAACTTGCCTTGCTTCAACTGTCACTGCTTGGGCCCTGGGCAGCGAATCCATTGTCTTCTCCCCACTTCCTTAACTACATACAACAGCTTCCGCCCACTTACTGCCTTACCTCAGCTCTCCCTTTCATACAGTGCTCACACTAAGCTCCCTAAGCCTCTTATCTTAGGTTTGCTTTCTATTCCCAGCTTGGTTTTGTTTCTCCTTTGAACACTGAACATCTTTTGATGTATGGCAGTCCAAGAAGCAGTCTTACTAATACTGAGTGAACTACCCTATTTCCTAATGCATTGCTATTTCCAAATTAACTTATTCAAATACTTTTCTGCTACAATATTGGTATCAAATCTTGTCTTGAGATTACTTTTGATGACCTCTAAGTCATTGTAAGCTACTGCTGAATCTGGCCTTTTCATCATTCCGTAGGTATAAACTATTGTTCTTACCTCAAGTCTGAACTCCTGCATTAGAATGGATTTCTTTAGATTCCAAGGGTGGACCGGTTAGCTGGTTTGTTTAATGCTGATTTAAAATCACCTTGGAATAGCCTATTTCTTAATATTCCCTGAAAAACTAAAGCCATAATCCTTTAAAAAGTGTTGGTAAAACTACCTTCCACTAAAATATGCTGACCACCTCCGTTACTCAGATCACCATAGGTGATCTGTAGGTTGGAAGGGATTCCAGAGTCTGTAGTCCACCCTCTTCAAAACAGGTCCAGCTGGAGCACATTACTCTGTGCCAGTTCTTGTCTTGTTTTGATTCTGTCCAAGGATGGAGACTTTACAACCTCCCTGTGCAACCTTTGCTAAGTTTGACTCCAGTAAAGATAAATATTTCTCCCTTATACAAAAAATTTTTTGTGCACTCAGGTGCATTGCTGCTTATCTTTCCATAGTGCACACTGGAGAAAAGTCTGGCTTCTCCGTCTTCTCTACAACCTCCTCTTACATAGTTGTTAACAGCACAAAGATCTCCTTGTGGCTTCTCTTCTCCAGGCTGGACACAGGCTACATGTGCCAGTCCCTGACCAGCCTGGTAGCCCTTAGGATTTGTTTGGCAGCCCAAAGCTGAGCACTCAAGCAGGTGCTTCCACAAGCCCTGAATGAACTGTGAGAACCACCTCCCTCAAACTCCCTGCTACAGTCTTGCTCAGGCAGCCCCTTGGCCTTCTCTGCTGCAAAGTGCATTGCTGGCTCACGGAATCATAGAATTGTCTAGGTTGGAAGGAACCTTTCAGATCGTCTAGTCCAACCATCAACCTGATGCTGACAAAAGCCATCACTAAACCATGTCCCTAAGCACCACATCTACCCATCTTTTAAATACCTCCAGGGACAGCGATTCCACCACTTCCCTTGGCAGCCTGTTCCAATGCTTGACAACCCTTTCGGTGAAGAAATTTTTCCTGATTGCCAATCTGAACCTCCCCTGGTGCAACTTGAGGCTGTTTCCTTTTGTCCTAGCACCTGTAACTTGGGAGAAGAGACTGACCCCCACCTCTCTACAACCTCCTTTCAGGTAGTTGTAGAGAGTGATAAGGTCTCTTCTCCAGGCTAAACAATTCCAGCTCCCTCAGCCACTCCTCCTAAGACTTGATCTCCCAACCCCTCACCAGCTTTGTCGCCCTTCTCTGGTATTGCTCCAGAATATCAGTGTTAAATCTCACCGTCATGGTTAGCTTAGTCGCCTGGGAGCCCCATGTCTTTTCAGGTGAAGCTGCATTTTAGTTTACTGCCCCCAGCCTGTACTGATTCATGGGCTTCTCCCATCCCAAATGTCAGACTTTACATTTGCCTTCTGTTGAATTTCATTAGGTTCCTCTCAGCAGCGTGTTTCTCCAGGCTGTACACCCTGCTCTGAATGGCAACCCAACCCTCCTGCATGGTGACTGCTCCCATCGGTTCATCACCATCAGCAAACTTACTGATGCTCAGTCTTCCAGGTCGTTAATAAGAATTAAGGGTATTGGCTCATGTATTGATCCCAGAGTCAAGCAGTCATACTGCTGAGCACCACATTTTAAGCCTGATGGCCCAGCCAATTTTCCAGCAACCTTATTTCCCAGCTATTCAATCTATAACTCACCAATTTGGCTATAAAGGCACAATGGGAGATTGTTTATCTAAGTCCTTTGTAAAGTCAAAATACTCAACATCCACCAGTTTTCCCTTGTCTACACAGCCAGTCATCTCATCATACTCCAGTTACTGATGCAACAGAAGTAACTACTTCTTCATAAAAATTAATTTCTGTCCTAATGTAATTGTTTGTCTTCAGCAGCTGGTCTACCTTGCTTTTAAGCAACTGTTTCTTGCCTTCATGTAATCCAAAGATATGTATTTGAGTAAAAAATTCTGTTTCCAAACCACATTGTGTTGTGACCCAGTTTCCTAATTTTCTTGCTAAAAATTTTAGTCTCAATGTTAAAAGCTTTAAACCAACTAAAGTACATTTATAGGTATCTGTATATGTAATTTTACTGGATTTATCCAGAACAAAGAAATGGAGGAAGCTATTAAGTGTTGCAAATGTCATTATGTTACTGCCATAACTGTTAAAATTATTGATGGTTTGAAGTTTTACCCACTCACACAAGACCTCAGTTCACAAGACAATTTTGTTCTTCTCCCACTTCAGTTCCCAAACCATCTAGCAAAGCACACAGTTAGACCTACTGTCCTGTGCCAACCCAAGCAGTGTGGTCTGGGCTCATCCTTACATGCCCCACGACCTAGTTCCTGAGAGCTTACCTAGTTAGAACACCTTGTAATCCTTGAGTTGAGGCTGGGACCTGAAAGCATGCTGGAGAGGAGGTCAAAGAAAAGTCTCCTGGGGCAGAGAGAGAGAGAGTACTCTGTGGCCGGGATACAGCCCTCAGTTACACTGTTCTCTCTTTTCTCAGACTTCCTTGTGATTCCAGGGATCTTTCTGAGCTCTCTGGATGTGCCCTCCAGTTGAGAACTCCTCAGGTACACTGGTTAAGCAGTTCTTCACAAAAACTGGTAGCAAGAAAAATGGTTACTGATTAACACCTTTGCTGTTAAAATTCAGTACCCTGAGTTAGTTATGAATGCTAACCTAGGTCCAAGTCATTACTTAAATTACTGGTTTGGTATGGAATGTGTTTTCAGTATGTATCTTAAAAAGGTAGCATTCAGTAAATCCTGAAGGCAAAATGAGCAGCTAAATTTAAATGCCGTTACAGTGCAGCACTCTTCTAAATTTGTTTCTTGATTAAAGTATTTCAGACAATTTTGAATTCAATCCACACCTCAAGTGATAATTCACTGATGAGATGATAAGCATCAATTACAACTTGAGACTGTCAAAAATCTCCTCCTGCCCTAATATATATGAGACAAGTGAAATTAAAATGACTTTTTCTTCTTATGACGGAGCTTCTCACTCTGCATCCTACTGTTCTACCCCCAGACACTAGATCCTGCTGGATTAGTGACCCTGCTGTTGCAGTATCAGTGAGGTGTTAGATGGGTCCATTCCAGTGTCACAAACTACCAATTTAGGACTACGATTTGCAAAATCTCAAGGCCAACTTTGGCTGGCAATGCTGATTTATGCTTCGTTAAAGTAATCTATTAACATAACCCTGGTTTAAAACTTTAAAAGCAGCGTCTGTGTTGCCCAACAAGCTGTAGGGCTATTGCATTTGGCTTGCTGCTTGTGCAACAGAGTTACTTCTGAGTCACTGAGAAATGCACCTTTTGTTTTTTCATAGTATACAAGTAAAGCAAAATTATAGTCCATCTACTTCCTGAGAAAGTGAATGGACAGTTTCTCTAGTGAGTGCTAGATCTTGTGAAACTGGGAGTTGATCTACGGGAACACTAATCACTCCCAGTTTCACCCTGTCCCTTGCCATCAACTCTGGTGCTTTTCTGAGCAGCCGGTGAGCCATTTCAGCTCACTGACCAGCAGAAACAGCAAACATTTTCTCCGATGTAAATCTTCTGGGTTTGGTGAGCTGTACTGGCTCCTTGGAGAGCCACAGGAATGTCAGAGCTGCCACTGAAGCAACCAGAGATGGTGACAGGGAGAGCCTGGCAAAGTTGATGCCGCTCTTGCAGCATTAAGCTGTTAAATTAACTCAGTCCACCCCATAAAGCTTTACCTTGAGAAAACCATGAACCTCTCTGAAATTGCTTGTTTGAAAAATGCAACATCAAATGCTTTTAAGCATGAATCTGGCCCACTGCAAGGTAACTAAAGTATCAGCCGGTACGTATTGACTAATTGACTCCATTGACTTGACCACTGAGGATTAAGGCTGATTATTCTAAGCTCTTCTGTCCTGTCTCAAGTGAGGTTCTTGCAGACTAGTTAATGCAGAGCACGGATCGCAATTACCAAGGGTGTGAAATACAGGCTGGGCACCCTTTTTAAGACCAGGCCCCGCCGTGCTGCGCCTGCCTTCACATGTGGGTCAAAGCGTTTATTTAAAACCGTGCTACTTTCCATCCTAAAGAAGTGTTTAAAAAAAAACAAACCACAACCTACACATATTTGTGTTTCCCAGGTCATGAGAAGCTTAGCGCTGCTCACCCTGTGCCGCCAAAACTGGGCCAAAACTGTACAGCATTTTTCACATTAATTTCTGGTGCTGCCCGAGCCACATGCTGGGGGACTTCCCTGGACAGCGGGAATAAAAAACCCCCTTTGAGGATTTGGCATAAAATGCGTGAGATTAAACACCACCAGGCACATCTCTGCCAGAGGAGGTGAAGGCCACACCACCACCAGCCCGGCCCTGACTCCCCAGGCAGCGAGAGAGCCCTGGCGGCTTCGGAGACAGGGGTCGCCCATCCCGAGGGGGCCGAGAGCTGGGATCACCGGCCACCGACCTACGGGCGCACGGTGTCCGCGGAAAGGCGGGCCGGGCCGGGCCGCGCCGCTCCCTCAGGCCTCCCGCCGGGCGCTCGGCAGCCGTTACCCCGCGCAACGGTCGCCGAGGCGGGGGAGAGCGGCGCCATGGGGGAAAGCAGCGGCGGCCGGGGGGCAAACCCCGACCGCCTGGCGCTGGAGCTGGGGCGGGAGAGGCGGAAGAAGTGAGTGCCGGGCGGGGAACGGGGCTGCAGCCGGGGAGCCGCTCCCAAGGACCGGCCGTGCCGGGGCGCCCGCCGCCTCCCTGCGACAAAATGGCGGCCGTCGCCGCGGGCGGGTGCTCCGGCTGGTGCGGCGGGTGGGGAGCGGCCCTGGGGAGGGAGGCCCTCATGGGAGGGTCCGCAGCTCGGCTGGGCTGTGCTGGTAACGCGGTTGGGACCCGGGAGGCAGGGGCACACGATGGGCCAGAGGGCTGGGACTAGCACAAGGAGACCGAATAAGGAGGATCAATAACTTCAGCCAAAAATGAGGCTGGTACTGAGCAGGGCTGAGGAGCGGGACTGGGCATCGTGGTTTAACAGCAGAAGGAGCTGAAGGCTTCACAACCCCTTCCTCGCTCCCCTCCCAGTGGGATGGGGACAGAATCAGGAGGGTAAAAGTGAGAAAATTTGTGGGTTGAGATTAAGACAGTTTAACAAGTAAAAAAGAAAAAGGAAACTGAGAAACCCAAGAAAAGCAAGTGATGTGGAAAAAGCCCATTGCTCACCACCGGCCGACCAATGCCGGTCTCCGAGCAGCAGCAGCACTGCCAAACTCCAGCTCCCCTTAGTTCTCGCTGCTGAAGATGACATTAAGTGGTGTGGAATATCCCTTTGGTCAGTTGGGGTCAGCTGTCCCAGCTGTGTCCCAACATCTTGTGCACCCCCAGCCTGCTCCCTGGCGGGGGGATGTGAGGAGCAGATAAGGCCCTGATGTGTAAGCACTGCTCAGCAAGAGCCGAAACATCCCTGTGTTACCAGCAGTGATTTCATCACAAATCCAAATAGCATCGTATGAGCTGAAGAAAATTAACCGTATCCCAACCAAAACCAGTACACTGGAAGTCACAATGGGGTAAGAGCAGAAAAGACTTCATGCCTGTTTTGGGGAAGAACAATCAAATGGACAAGGTGCTCCAATGTTGAGCACCTTCATCCAACATCCAACAATGTTGAATAAAACTGGAAAGCTGGATTTCACTTTTCTCTGCTATCAGTAAATATCTCTGAGACCTACAGGGAAGCTACGGTATCTCTCTTGTGCCATTTGCAGAGAAGATGAGGACTCGTTACTGCTACCAGTTAATCCCCTTGTTTATGCAGCAGGTGCTCCGAGGATTGTTGATGCTCAGGCAGTGGTGGGATTCTAGGTTGGGGTCTTTTCCCAGTTTGCTTAGGGAGTTACACATTTTTCCCTGTGTTAAAGAACATGATTGCCTTTTGAAAGTTAATAAAGTAAAAGTCAGAAACTGTCAGAAGCTCCTGTGCTACCTTAAGTCAGACCCTTAATATTTACATTTCCATACCATTTTCAAACATTTTATTCCATACTGATTTTTCCCCCTGGTCAATGTTTCTTTCAGTGTCTGAGCTGCAGGTTCTCTTCAAACTAGTCCTGCAGCTGTGAACTTTATAAAAGTGTTTATTCACCAATAGAAAGAGGGAAACCAATATTAACAGAGTGAAAATGGTTAGGCAGCTTCTGCACTCAAAATGTCACAAAAAAGACCTTGGTACATACTTGCACTAGTATGTAAGCAAATGTCCTTTTACTAAGTGTCCCGAACAGTAGTATATCAGTGTAGTATGTGTTATCCTCTGCATGCAGCAGGTCTTTATCTGACACCATCCTGATACTATGGATGTTCCGGTAAAAAGCAGAATGATATTGGCTTTGTTTCACTGATTTTATTTTTATTTTTATTATTTTTATTTTTTTTTAATTAATTATAACCTGGATTCTTATGTGCCTTAAATTCTTGCTGACATGCCTGAGAATCTTCTGCAAGACTGGGCCTAAAGCCCAGGTCACACTGGGAAGTGGGGACTTGTTGCTGATGAAAGGAAAATATATATTTAATAAAAGCCTTTGTTGTGATGGCATGGCAGTAAGAGACTCGCTGCTTCAGGTGGATTCTACAACTGTTTCCCGTGCATATCTTGTGTGTGCAAGTAGAGAATACCATTAGTGCCTATTTCACGGAAGTTGTTTGTTCAACCTAACTGTTAATGACCAGGCTTGTTAGACATCTAGTGCAAAGCAGTGGCATGTATAGCAATGAATACAGAAGGGCTCTGTGAAGGTGTGATTCATCTGACCTACTTTGGCTGGCTGTGTTAGCATGGGATGACTCACACCTCAGGAGGTGCCTGTTTCTCTCCTTTGGGTATAAAGCAGGCTGAGGATGACTGGCTTGCAGATAGCTGTCTGCATTCCTTCACAGCCATCTCACACTTGTCGTCTTTTTACTGGCTTATTTGATTATTATGCCATTTAGGCAGTTTGCTAACAGGCCTTCTACCACTCTCCTTTAACACTCATGAAGAAGAGATTTTTACTTCAAAGAGTAAATTGAATCATCCATGTCTGTAAGGGGTCTGTACCTAAAGTACCTACTGATTCTCAATGATTGTGGATGTAATACTGTGAAGTCTTTCAAAGGCTTTAATGAAAGCCAGTTTAAATCTGAATCTGAATTACTGTAATCAAGATTCAGTACAGGTTTTGACTGAAATGTCATTGCAAATATTTCTGAGAGAGAGAAATCATATATAATACTGTGGTATACTTAACAGACAAAGAGGTCTTAAAGCCATATATTTATGCATGTCAGCTACTTACTAATGTTGATGGAGCTGTGTGTTAATTCAGCTTGTGAGATTTCAGCTTCTGTGTTTTTTTGGCAAGGAAAGCTGCAGCATTTTCCCAGCAGACTGCTGACTGCAAGTGTTAGGAGTCTGTAGCTTTCAATACCGGGGATGCTCTTCCCTGTGGTGCCTTTTGCACCGCACAGTATTGTTTCTGCTTGCTTTGTAGGTTCTGAAGGCATCTATGTATTTTGTCTTCCACAGGAATCCATAAAGGTCTGCTGTATTACAGAGCTGATGCCCTAGAACTGATGATTTGTCGGGAGCTTCTCCTGTAATGTTTCACTGGTTTCCCACTCCACTATAGAAAATGGCTTCAGGCAGTCTTTTGCCTTATAACATGTACCACATATCCAGATCTGGATAGCAAAACGTGCACGAAAATGGCTTTCATCCTAAGTGGCTGTCACTTTAAAGTAAAATAATACCTGTAAACTATCTTAAAAAGAAACTTGGCAATTTTTTTTCTTTTGTCATTTCAATCACAGCCTTCTTCTCTGAACTGCCCTTTTTTCTTCTTTGCTTTGCAGAGCTTTCTTGTTATGATTAGCGTGCAAGGATGTAGTTAAGTTCTCCTGATGAGTTAAATGTGAGCTTCCAGGATTTATGGGCTTTCTTCTGTGATGACTATAAATTGTCCATTGTTATAGGAAGGATTCATAGGTGTTAAATATGTGTGATTATGTTTAACAGGTGAGGTTGCAGATAAAGTCACACCACAGTCCCTCTAAGTACAGACCAGGTCTCTTTTTGGGCTATACACAGCTGCGTTAAAGTCACAGATACATGGCCTCACCATCACTTTCTATCACAATTAGAAATAACTCCAGAAATGCAAAGTACTCGGATACAATAAAAAGCTTAAGTATTTATCAAGTTGGTAAAAGTGATTTGTTTCCACATCCCTTCTCTGTCAGTGCAGGGACTGTAATTTACGGCATATACACTGACTAAAATAGAGAGGTTCCACTCTGGCTACTTTCTGGGTGCTATTGGAGTATTGGAGTACATTTAATAATAACTAGATTTTTTTAAAAACTAGATGCATTTGCCAAATGAAAATAAGACTTTCTGTCAATGTAGCAATTACAGTCTGACAACTGACAATTTATCATTTCTGTACACATTTTCATCATTTCTGTACACATATTTCATCAAAAATATTCATCAAAAATATTAATAAAAAATATTAGGAAGTTGGCGGGCAGTTTTGCTAATGGTGCAGAAAGAATAATACAGTCTAATGTAAGAAATGTTGTATATAGCCTTGGAATGGTAACAGAAATTAAAATCTGAAAGCACTAGTTTTAAAGAACTCATTCTTCCTGTGTTATCCCTCTGCATCCATCTAAGCACCTGGTTAGGATTTGTTTGAAAAGGTAAACAATTTCATTTTTGGTGCAGCTCCGCTGTAGTTACAGCTTTGACCATGCCTAATTTAGAGTGTTATTTCCTTCCAAAAATCCCATTTTAACACTCACAGTTGACGTAATTTCTTCTTTTCCAAGCACTGAGAGGTTGATATAAATCTGCTTTATAGAAATCGTACCTATTTGTATCAGAATGATACCAGCAATGTAGTAAGATTTTGTCTTTCTTCTTCCTAGCCATCTGCCTCTATTCATTTGGAGTGGAAGCAAATAGGCAGAAGCAATCAGATTTCCTTTGATTTTCCTGCATCTAAGTTTTTTTTTACTCGTGTTTCAAGTCTATCTTTTGCTGGGGCTTTCACCACACCCATTTTGTCTCCAGCAATTTACCAGTACTTTCATTATTCTTGCCTATGTCCCCACTATCTAATTTAATGTTGGTAGGGACAAAAAGGGCAATGGCACAAGGAGGGATTGGAAGACCCCGTGCTCCCCTGCCCTTCAAAATGTCTGTCTTACTTTGCTCCAGTGTGTTTCTTGCACTAAAAACTTACTTTAATTACTTTAAATTACTCCTCTTTACACTTCTTTGTTATTTCAGCTCTTCAGCCCTCACCATTCCAGGCACACCTCTTTGTTTTAAGATCGGTTGGTTTGCTTCTGCAGCTTTTAGTTGAAATTTGATGTTTAAGCTATGGAAAACGAATGTCACAGTCTGAATGTGAGCATGAGGAGTGCAACAGGTGATACAATTTCTTAGTGATCAGCTCTGTCATCAGAGCTTTGATTTCTTATAGGCTAATTAACTATTTCTTGAAGAGCATTTCTCCTTATGAATGTGTTCAGAACGAGAAGATCCATGTTGATACGGAAGCCTCCCTTTAAAAAAAATAACACCAAAAAATAGGACAGGAAATGATTTTATCTCTTGCACGTTTTAATGAACTAGGCTAAGATTTAAAAGACATCTATGTCATATTGGTATTGTAAAGCATTTCCAAATAATGGTCTTATTTGGAGAGTTGTGTTCTCAGTTCTTTTGAAATATCTCAATTTGGGCACTGAAAAATGGAGATACCCAAGAACCACCGATTGTTTTTTGAAATCTTGGTCTTCCAAAGTTGACTTTAAAGGACAAAACCACAAACTGCTCTTGTGTTATGTCGTGCTGTGTTTTTATTGCAGTTATCCTGGTGTGGGCTGACTTGTTAGAATCTTACAGGCAAGAGCATTTCTCCATAGTCATCTCCAAAAACAACTGGGCATAAATGTGGTCAATAATTTAGTTAGCAGTAATTTCCCCGTGGCGTGATTGAGATAGATGATTCATAGTACCACAATAAACTACCTTCTTGCCACTTAAGATTATTAAGAGTCATTCAGCATCTTGTATGATACACACAGGTGGGTTTGGCTGTTATCAGAGTAAGTCCTTTGCTAGCTTCTGCTTCTGGTCATATCTACCAAGGCAGAAGGAGCCTGGTTTTCCATGGTCAGTTGTCTGGCTGCCTGACCAGTATATGGACAAAATCAGTTGGCAAAAATATATTTTATATATATTATATATATTTTTTAATATATATATATAATTGAGTTTAAGATATCAAAAAAAAAAGGTGGCTTTAGCTCCAGTATTTTTCTGTAACACTTATCTTACTTTAATTGCTTGCTTTCTTTTCTGGTAGTCATAATACATGGTATCCTTTGATTGGGTTTGTTATGGGTACAATTTGAAAAATGACTATTAATCATTGAGCAGTGAGTCAAAATGAAAAATTAATTCAAAATTTCAAGTAGCACATCTCAGCACATCATATTCTTCTTTCAAAAACATATTATTTGGGAAGGTTCTTTCAGATGAAAAATTAAAGCCAATGTCTTCTCTACATTTGTTTAATTCTGGTGATCTGCTAGACAGCTATTAAATTTTAGGAAATGTTGGTCTTTTTTTTTATGAAAGTAATTTTATTCACAAAACAGAAATGTTTCTATTGTTTTTAAGGCACTGTGGAATCTGTAGAGAAAAATTCATTAAAAATCCATGGATAAGATGATGTAATTACACAGGAAAGACCAACAGAATTGAAAATATATTCAATTTATTCTTTTTTATTTTTAATAATAAGATTAATGCAATAGACAATTTTTTGACTTCTCTAAATACCACAGGCAAATGCTTGAAGTCTCAATATTTGAACTGAGAAACACAGTAACAGAACTGGAAAAAAGACTTAGCAGTGTTGAAGATGAAGGTAAGTGAATTGCAACAGAGTCTTGCTAATTGATTAGGAAACACAAGAAATTAATTATTTTGGGTAGCTATAGAGATACACATTTTTATTTGGAAATTGAAGCTTTCCCTTTTCAAACATGACTATTACAGGTCTGATGTTGCAAATCTGAAATTAAGGAATACTACATGCTGCATCTTAGCTTTAATTATTAATGAAACTATGAATAACATGAATTTATAGATTTGATTAATATTCTGACCACAGTAAGCCCAGTGAAAAATTCCCTTGATTTACATTTTCAAGCTCTTTTGTATGCAGAAATCCTCATTATGAGGATTACTAAATGGAGACTTTCTTAGTGTCCAGAAAATCGTGGGAACTGTTTGAAAAAATCGTAGAATCATAGAATGGTTAGAGTTGGAAGGGTTGTAAAGATCATCGAGTTCCAAGCTCCCTGCCATGGAGACCATGGAACCTCCCACTAGACCAGGTTGCTCAAAGCCCCATCCAGCCTGGTCTTGAACATTTCCAGGGATGGGGCATCCACAGCTTCTCTGGGCAACCTGTTCCAGTGCCTCATCACCCTCACAGTAAAGAATTTCTTTCTAGTATCTAATCTAAATCTCCTCTCTTTCAGTTTAAAACTGTTACCCCTTGTCCTATTGCTCTACTCCCTGATGAAGAGTCCCTCCCCATCTCTCCTGTAGACCCCCTAAAATGGATGAAATAATCTAGAAAACAGAATAACCGTGTATTTCTTTCTAAGGTAACGAATGGAAAACCAGATATGAGACACAAGTAGAACTGAACAAACAGCTGGAAAGGCAAATTAATATTCTTCAAGAGAAGATAGAGCTTATTCGTGGTAATCCAGCAGGTAGAAATGGGTATTCATAACTGTTTCTCAGTAGAATTAGTGTTCATATGTTGAAATTGTATCAATGGGTCACATTTTCTGCTTATTTGTAGATAAATTGTCCACTGTGCGCAGCTTTGATCAAATGCCTGTGGTGAGTATTATGGCATTTAGTTGGTTAACAAAAAATCACAGTGCAGTTGAAGAACTTGTATCATCTTTTGTTTTTTCCTGACAGAAAATAGCAGCAGCCTCGTCTAGAAACCAAAACAATCAGTCCTCCTGCTTACTTTCTTTTTTATTTTATGTTTTCAGATATGCAGTTGCTTATACATTTATAAAGTATAGAGGAAAATCATTAAGTAGGAGCTACAGAAGACCTGAATGTTCAGAATATAGTGAAATTTTTGACTGAGTGAAGGTTGTGTGGTTGACCTGCGCTAAGGAATATGAGATGGAGTAGCTGGACTAGTTCTGTGAATAAATGGAAAAACTGTAAACATTGATCACAAAATCATGGAATCATTTAGGTTGGAAGGGTCCCCTCTGGGATCTTCTACTCCACACCTCCTATTCAAGCAGGGCCAGTTACAGTGGGCTGCCCAGCATCATGTCCAGTTGGGTTTTTAGTATCTCCAGAGATGGAGACTCCACAACTCCTCTAGGCAATGTGTTCCCATGTTTGGCTACTCTCACAGTAAAAAAAGTGCTTTCTTGTGTTCAGATGGAATTTTATTTGTTTCAGTTTGTGTCCATTGCCTTTCGTCTCATCAGTGGGCACCACTGAGAAGAGCTGGGCTCCCTTTTCTTCATTCTCCCCCATAACGTATTTATACATGCTGCTGAAATCCCCACAGCCTTCTCTTGTCCAGGCTGAACAGTCCCAGCTCTCAGCTCTCTGTCATATGCTCCAGTCCCTTAATCATAGCCCTGTGCTGGGCTTGGTTCTGGAAATCCGTACCTTTCTTGTGCTGGATATGTCTCACCAATGCTAAAGAGAAGGGACGGATCACCTCCCTCAACCTGCTGGCGACATTCTTCCTAATGCAGCCCAGGTGGCCGTTGGGTTTCTTGGTAGCAAGAGTGCACTGCTGGCTTGTGGTCATCTTGTTGTCCACCAGGGCCCCAAGGTCATTCTCTGCCAAGCTGCTTCCCAGCCAGTAAACCCCCAGTTACTGGTGCTTGGGGTTATTTCTCCCCAAGGACAGGACTTTGCTTTTCCCCCTGTTGAACTGAACTTCATGCAATTCTTCTGTGCCTCTTTCTCTTTCCTGTTGAGGTCCCTCTGAATGGCAACACAATCCTCTGGTGTATCAGTCACTACTCCCAGTTTCGTATCAACTGTAATAACATAGATGAATAGTTTGAGTAACATTTGCATAATACAGTTAGAGGAAAATTCCTCATTGTACGGTAAATATACCATTTTTGCAATACCAAAGGAAATATCTGTTTTGATTTTTAAAATATTTCAGAAAAGCATAAAACATTTTTCTGTGATCTCGAGGAGAAAGTGGCAAGAAAAAAACAGGAAATATTTTGGCCATTTAGTCTTCTAAATATAGTAAATGACGTGAAAACCATTTTAGATTCAGGACTGATTTTTCCTTAGTCTGTCATCTGCTGAAATCTTTTACTTTGAGACCGGTTCTGCTTCTTGCCAACTTTTAGAAATAAGGAAGGTAGATAAAGATGTGATAATGCCTTATAACATAAGCAGGAATGTGACAGGGCTCTGACAATTTTTATTCCACTTGTTTATGCTTACAGAAGTGGTTCCATCTTACTTTTTTGTGCTTTAGATTCTGGAGATTAATGGGAGTTTACTGAGCCTAGAGGAGGCTTCATGCCCTATTAGTGGGAATTAATATCTGCTGTAAGAAGGGTGTGAATAATTAACTGCTCTTTCTGATTTGATCCATGGCTTTCACATAGTAAACATTCTTGCCAGTTTTAGTACTGTCCTAGAGACCATGATGTTTTCTAGATTGGCAGGATTATTTTTTTTAACAGTTAATTAAAAAGAGAACAAAATCTTTCCCATCCTACTTTCCGGTTTCACAGAGATCATTTGAAAATACAATTGGGATTATACTTGAAGAAAAGTCTTGGAGATAGAACATTGATCTAGAAAATTTGCTGTAGAGTCTGCTTCAGACAACGTTACTCCGGTCAGCCTGTAACGCACAGACTTGCATACATGCTTACAGTATCAGAAGTGTTTATTACCACCCAATTGCTAGTACTGTCTCAACAAATCCAATTACACCTTGCCAAGCACTCAAAGAGTCATTACAAGTGAGATAATCTCCTTTACCAGCAGCTGGGCTGCACCAATCCAGTACATTTCTAATCCCTACTAAATACTGGCCTGTCTCCTCACCTATGAGCTGTGGTTCTGAGAGGTTTAATTACTTTTCCCACAAGTGAAGGAATGACAGCACAACTGAAGGATTCATAGAAGCATAGAATCGTCTAGGTTGGAAGGGACCTTAAAGATCATCTAGTCCAACCATCAACCTAACCCTGACAAGAAAATAAATAAGAAATAAGCAATAAAAAATCACTAAACCATATTCCTGAGGACCATGTCAACCTGTCTTTTGAACACCTCCAGGGATGGTGCCTCAACCACTTCCCTGGGCAGCCTATTCCAATGCTTGATAACCCTTTCCGTGAAGAAATGTTTCCTAATATCCAATCTAAACTTTCCCTGGCACAACTTGAGGCCATTTCCCCTTGTCCTATCTCCTGTGACTTGGGAGACGAGGCTGACCCCCACCTCTCTACACCCCCCCTTCAGGTAGTTGTAGAGCACGATAAGGTCTCCCCTCAGCCTCCTCTTCTCCAGGCTGAACAACCCCAGTTCCCTCAGCCTCTCCTCATAAGACTTACTCTCCAGACCCTACACCAGCTTCGTTGCCCTTCTCTGGACCCGCTCCAGCACCTCAATGTCTTTTTTGTGGTAAGGGGCCCAAAACTAGACACAGTACTTGAGGTGGGGCCTCACCAGCACCGAGTACAGGGGGATGATCACCTCTTGGGTCCTACCCACCACACTGTTCCTGAAACAGGCCAGGATGCTGTTGGCCTCCTTGGCCACCTGGGCACACTGCTGGCTCATGTTCAGCCTGCTGTCGACCAACACCCCCAGGTCCTTTTCTGCCGGGCAGCTCCAGCCACTCTGCCCCCAGCCTGTAGCGCTGCCTGGGGTTGCTGTGACTCAAGTGCAGGACCCGGCACTTGGCCTTATTGAAACTCATCCTGTTGGTCTCAGCCCATCGATTGAGCCTGTCCAGATCCCTCTGCAAAGCCTCTCTACCCTCCAGCAGATCAACACTGCCACCCAACTTGGTGTTGTCTGTGAACTTACTGAGGGTGCACTTGATCCCCTCGTCCAGATCATTGATAAAGATGTTAAAGAGAACGGGTCCCAGTACCGAGCCCTGTGGGACACCACTCATGACCGGCCACCAGCTGGACTTGACTCCATTCACCACCACTCTCTGGGCCCGGCCCTCCAGCCAGTGTTTAACCCAGTGGAGAGTATTCCCATCCAAGCCATGGGCAGCCAGTTTCTCCAGGAGGATGCTGTGGGAGACTGTATCAAAGGCCTTGCTAAAGTCCAGGTAAATACTTCTAGAAGAGTCTAGAAGACTCCTTTGGAGAGTCCTAGATTTACTCAGTGACACGTAGGGAAGACTGGAGCCCATGAGCCATGCAATGGGTTTTTCTTCTGCAGTTTTTAAGTCCTTCCTTCAGCCTTCCAGCTTAGAGTGAATACATTCTTCTGTTTGTTAGCCAGAGGGGAAAGAAAAGTGCTTAGGGATTTAGTGAAATGTTTCATTTTCCCTTGTTTTGATTTTCAGGAAAGGGAAAGAGGGGAAGAAAATTGATGTATTTTGTGGGCTTTGCTGTTGGGATTTTTGTTCCACTGAAGCTATCAGAAAAGTCAGTGTATATTTACAGACACTCTTGGAGAATGCAGAGCTGCTTTTTTTTTCCCTTTAAATTTTCAGAGATAAAGCATTGGTAAAAAAATACACAGATCATTTTGTGGTTTTTAAGCATATAGGTTTATCCAAATCCTTTTATGTTTCTGAGAGTTGTTCAGGGGAGTAGGGGGGAATATTTAGCTTCTCCACAGATGAGAATAAAGAGCAGATGTGGTGAGTGGGTGTAGAAAAACAAAGAGCTTTGGAGCCAGTCATCAATCTACATTTGCTCAAAGTAAAAATGCTGAGAGTGGGTATGTATAAAATGATGTGTGTGTGTGTGTATTAAATCAAAAGTACACTATGATATTCAGCTTTCAACTGGCAGTTGCATATGAAGCTCTGTGGAAAGACAGCAAAGTGATTCTTCCAGCAAGATGATATAATTTCTAGAATATGGCAGCAGTAGGCAGTAGATTTTGTTTTGAGCAACACTAAATAGTATTTGCATGTCTTTTTAACCTGTGTTCCCAAGGAAGTTAGAATTATGCAGTTAGAGTAATTAGAATGACCTCTAATAATTCTTAACTTCCTAAGCAATTTTATCTGTATTTAAAAGAGGAGATATCTCAAAGATAATAAAGAAATTTATCTCACTCAAGTAGTCATTTAAGTAGGGAACAGACTACCATAGTCAATAGGAGGAGAAAAACATGTCTGTAGAGTAATTCATCCCATTTAGAGATAGGTAGCATAAAATATTTTCTCAATATCAAGCACTACAAGGAAAATAAAAAAAGATTAGTCATCAGGGACCCTGGCAGTCAGCAGGCTATAAAAACCTGAATGAAAGAGAAGAATACAAATGCAAATTCTGGAGTGATGAACAAGGAAGCACAGAGGATTTTCTGTGTTGATAAATTGCAGTAATTGTTGCAGATGGCTTGCACTATTTTTGCTTTAGAATTAGAATTGTTCTGATGAATGATTCCTTGCTATTGAAAACACCCCTAAACCATTTAAATATATGGTTATCATTCTGAAGTCATTTTATTGACTTGAGATAATCCTTTTTTTTTTGTTTCAAAAAAATCATGTAGGTGTCACTTGACAGTAAGGGCAGAACCAGTACCTTCAACACAGAAAGTTTTTACAGCCAGGGTTTAGAAAATCATTTTTGTGTACTGAGGGCAGATTTAAAATTATCTAAACAGTGACA